GACAAGTAAAATATCATGAAACATTAAGATGGTGTTTGATAAGTATCCCGAGTTTTTATATTTTTCATAACACTAATTTCAGATATATAAACATTGCTATAGTTTATGAATGAATGAGTGGGTGCTGAACATTTCTCTGCCTGATCAACTTCCAAAAATCAGACCTAAAGACCAAAGAACAGATTAGGAATCACTTCTTAACTTGACTAGGAACTTTTCAGCACCCACTCATATCTCTCGTTTTCTTATACCTCTTCCCACTCAACATTCTCTCTGACTTCCCATTACCTCTTTCCACTCATATCTACATTCTCTCTTTCCATTGTTTCCTCCCACACATATCTATATTCTGTCTGTTTCTCTTGCCTCTTCCCACACATAATTTCTCCCTCTCTTTTTCCTTGCCACTTCCCCCATATATCTCTATTCTCTCTTTCCTATTCCCACACATATTGATATTCTCTCTCTTTCCCTTGCCTCTTCCCACACATATCTATATTCTCTCTTTCCCTTACCTCTTCCCACATATCTATATTCTCTCTTTCCCTTGCCTCTTCCCACATATCTATATTCTCTCTTTCCCTTACCTCTTCCCACATATCTATATTCTCTCTTCCCCTACCTCTTCCAACTCATATCTCTATCTCTTACTTCTTTCAAACTCATATCTTAATTCTCTCTAACCTTCTGGGAATTTCAAATTGAACCCTTTATTTAATCTATGAGAGTAAATTATTCTCATTCCATTGACCATGTCTAGGGATATCTTGTCTAGTTCTTATTTACTACTGCTCAGTTATTGCTCCTCCTGTTTCCACTGAGTCTTGGGACTGAACTTAGAATTACTATTTTACCCAATTCACAAACCAACATTTTAATTCACAAGGCTGTTTGAAGTGAAGAACTAACCTGAATGCTGCTGAGTGCTGCTGTTGATTGCACTTACTGGGGAGTCTCTTTTTAATACAGCTGCTACTGTTGAATCCTTGCTGTCATTTCTATTTTTCCCTTTATTAATGGCTCCCATTTTGTATTTATTTTTATGTTAGGCCTACTAAGGAGGTCCTTCTAGTCTAGTCTATGTTACCTAGTTTAGCAAGCATCTGATGAAGGCCAGAGGACACAATGACTGAAACACTCTGTTAAGAACAACAAAGATGAGAACAATAGTCTGCGTGTAAATAACAAAAAAGATTAGTATTGTGTAGGACCTTCTTTAACTTGCAGTAACTTGATATGGTATCAATTCCACATATGATCAGAAGATCTCTAGAGAGATGTTGAGACATACAGTACACACTTCCCTGATATTTCTAACTTCAGGGTCTTGTGCACAAACAGTCTTCTCTACCCCATACCATAAATGCTTGATTAGGTAAGTGCTATGACCACACTATTCATTGTAAATTTCCAAAATGTTTTTCATAAAAATTCTGTGCTGCTTACAGTCTGACAACATGGTGCATTATTCTGCTGGAATTATCAGTCATTGTTAGAGTGCATGGAGTCTCTGAATGGGGTCAACGTGTCACAATGCATGGAGTCTCTGAATGGGGTCAACCTGTCACAATGCAATGCATTATAACTATCACCTGTCAGTGACAGGTTTTAGCAGACCAGCTTATTCCACATGAACATATGCTACACTATGATGGAACCACCACCAGCTAGCACAATACTTTGTGAACAACTGGGGTCCATGGCTTCATGGGGTCAATCAACACCAAAAACCTACCAGCAATTCGAAAGAACTAAAACCATAACAGAGAAATCATGCCATGCATTACCAACACATGTGTTTCTGTTTCTACCAATTTGAATACCATGAATTAGTATGGAGGCAACCTCAAAAGATGGTGAATCACTTGCCCTCATAATAGCAAATGAAGGTACTTATCGTGGACATAATGGCCAATGTGACAAAGAGTAACCTGATATGAGGCTGCAAGATTAAGGACAGTTTTATCGAATAACATTTTCCCAGTTTTTTGGGAAGTTGAACATGTACACAAAATTCTTTTGAAAATATACTGACATTTTTTCAGTTGAATATCTTTGTTTATATTATAATCTGTTCTCTATTACTTGGTGTAGCCTGTAGGTTATGTCATGATTATATATATATATATATATATATATATATATATATATATATATATATATATATATATATATATATATATACACACACACACACATTCATAGCATTTTATTGAACTGAAGGCAAGTATTCTGAGCATGTTAGTTTGCTAATCATAACAAATTATGTTATTTTGATGACAATACTTATAAATTTTCTTTTTGTTCTACTAAAACTTAAATAAAAGTTCCATTAAACTTAAATAAAAACCTATATTATATATATATATATATATATATATATATATATATATACAGTGCTGCGAAAAAGTAAGTGAACCCCTAAGATAATATTTAAAATAATTATCTCCATTTTTCCAGATATCCAGCAAATCTTAATTAACCTATATATTCATTAAGAAAACCCTTTATTAAATCAATTATAACAACTTTTGAAGATTTTTATCAATCTGGAATAAAAATATTAATTAAAAATTATGATTTGCCAAAGTTAGTGAACCCTTACATTTACACACTGTATTTTTGTTTTACATGGTTGCCAATGCAAATCATTTTTTGTACACATGTAAAAACTGAAATGACACATGTTCATTTGTTTGGTTGTGTATACTCCAGTAAAACAATATAACTCATTATGTATACAAAAGTGTGCAGTTAAGGACTAAATTTTAAAAAATATATATGCAAAGTGCAGAAGAACTTCTTGAAGCTTTAAAAAAATTGCTTAGTTGAAACCTATAATGAAGGAGAAGGCTACAAAAAGCTATCAAAATGATTTGCACATCTCCACCATGCAACAAATTATTTATAAATGGAAGGCTTTTGGTATGACAGCATCACTATCAAGAAGTGATTGTCCACAAAAAATAACTGCAAAAGCAAATAAACCTCTATTTTGGGAAGCCCAGGTAAATCTTGCTATCATTTTTGTGGTTCTCTAGTGCTCACTGGCCAATGCCAGCAATGTGCATACATTTACAGTGCAATGAAATTTGAACAATGCCAATCTTCATAGCAGAATGCCTAGAGAACGACACTGCTTATGAAATAGCACAAGCATGCTCACCTCAACTATACCAAACCTGAAATTAATAAGCAAGAAACATTCTGGCAAGAGATTTGATGGTTGGATGTGACCAAACTAGAGCTCTTTGGGAGGAACAATAGGTGGTATAACTGGCATGCTCCTAATATGGCTTTTAAAGAGAAGAATTTGATACCAACCATTACACATGTTGGTGACAGCATCATGATTTGGGGGTGCATTGCCACAGCTGGAACAGGCAAAATAGTACACATTGACCACACAATAGACTCTGCAAGATACCAAGCAATTTTGAATGAAAGTTTCTTGTTGTCAGTTCAAAATCTGGGTTAAGGTCAGGGCTGCAACTTCCAACAGGATAATGATCAGAAGCATCAAAGCAAATCCAGAAAAGAATGGGTTCATAAAAAGAAATTTTAAGTCTTGGAATAGCCTAGTCAAACTCCTGATCTAAACTTAATTGAAAATCTTTGATTCAAGTTAAAGAAGGCAGTATATGCAAGAAACCCAGGTAAAATTGAGCAATTGTGGGAGGTTTTTTTTTCAAAAATGGGCATTCACTATTGCCACAAATGTCTTAAAATTATAGAAAAGGGCTGGTTGACATTGTAACCTCAAAAGAAGTAGTCACAAAACATTAAATGTAAGGATTCACTTACTTTTGCACTTTATATTTTTTAATTAATATTTTTATTCCAGCTTGATAACATGCTTTGAAAGTGGGCATAATTGATTTACTAAAGGTTTTTCTGAATGAATATATAGTTTAATTAAGGTCAGTTGATCATCTGTGAAAAAGAGACAATTTTTAAAAATATCTTAGGGGTTCACTTACTTTTGCGCAGCACTGTATAAATATGTGTGTGTGCACATTATATACATATATATATATATATATATATATATATATATATATATATATATATTAGTTAGTTAGTTTGTGCAAATGTTTCCTGTAAACAAATTTTCAACTGTATATTCAGTGTTTTGTCTTCAAAAGAGTGCTGGGAACTGTTGCATAAACTATATATATACATTAATTATGAATAAATTGTGTGTGTATATTTGGATGTGTGTGAGTGAGTGAGAGAGAGACTATCAATTTATGCTTACTAATCTTGCTTTATTTACTGATCCTTTTTGTGTTTCTCTTACTTTCAATATATTACTTTGAGAGAGTGGGTGAGGAAAAGAGAAAGAGGAAGTTCTTACATTTTTTTTCCTCTCCCACTCTCACTCAGTTCATCAGTCTCTCTGTCTTTATTACTCTCGACAAGCTATATATCTCTCCCACAATTTTTTCTCTCCACAAGGGTTTCAGTTCACAAACTTAAAAAAAAATGGCCTTTCTCAAGAAAAGATAAAATGAACTCAAGTGGAAAAGTCAAATTTATTTTTCGTAACTTTTTAAAATCATTCAGTGTTCTTGGATTTGTATTTTGTTCTTATTTCTTCCCATTTGTATCTTCAAATTGTATTATCTTTCTCTCTATATTCCTTTACCTTTTCTCTTGTTACCTCTCACTCTCTCTGGGAGACACACATATATATAACATTTGCACATACACATAAACACATGTAAAAAGGATATGCATAAACAAACATATACAAACACAGTTTTATGACTTACCACTTCTTGGGGAAAAAAAAGGAACTCAAAAGTATCAATCTTTATCTTCAAATATTTAAGCTTGACTTTTTTAAGAAAATAAAAATAAAAGCTTAGTATTTGTTTCTCTCTCATAGCTTCCCTTAGCTCTGCCTCAATTAAACGCTATTTCTCCTCTCACCAACATTTTTGAGAGCCTTTCTGCTTATTGTTCTCTGATATTTCTCACCATATTCATCTGCCAAGATGGACAGGTTTTGTACATGAGAAAAAAAATTTTGTTTGAGAAAAACAAATAAAATAATTCAAGACGATGAAATCCTCATATATTTAATCTTGACTTTTAAAACATAAATATAAATCTCGCCCTCAGTTCCACTCACTGTTATCTCTCATGCATTCTCTTTTTCACCTTCCCTGAAAATATGTTTATCCAATACACAATGTTTATTTATTTGTCTATTTCTACTTATCAAAACAATTGTCTCACTTAAAAATGAAGTTGAACCTTTATAAAAATGCCAATGATTTAATATTTATTTATTGCTGATTTTTTAAAACAAGAAGCCCAAACAATTCTAACAATTTCTACAAATATTTTTCTTATTCAGTCATTATTTACATTACATTTGTTGTCCACATCTTTGCTGTTTTCCTTTTCTTTCCTTTGCATACATTACATTTGCTGCCCTTAACTTTACTGCTTTCTTTTTCTTTCCTTTGTGTACATTACGTTTACTGTCCTCGTCTTTGCTGCTTTACTTTTCCTTCCTTTGTGTACACTTGTTGTCACCATTATACTGTTTTCCTTTCCCTTCCTTTGCGTACATTACATTTGATGTCCTCATCTTTGCTGCTTTCCTTTTCTTTCCATACATTACATTTGTTGTCCTCATCTTTGCTGCTTTCCTTTTCTTTCCATACATTACATTTGTTGTCCTCATCTTTGCTGCTTTCCTTTTCTTTCCATTACATTTGTTGTCCCCACATTTTGTTTGTCCTCATCTTTGCTTTCCTTTTTTTTTTTTTGTTGTCCTTTTTGCCATACATTACATTTGCTGTCCTCATCTTTGCTGCTTTCCTTTTCTTTCCATACATTACATTTGTTGTCCTCATCTTTGCTGCTTTCCTTTTCTTTCCATACATTACATTTGTTGTCCTCATCTTTGCTGCTTTTGTTGTCCCTTTTTTCTTTTTTTCCATACATTACATTTGTTGTCCTCATCTTTGCTGCTTTCCTTTTCTTTCCATACATTACATTTGTTGTCCTCATCTTTGCTGCTTTCCTTTTTTTCCATACATTACATTTGTTGTCCTCATCTTTGCTGCTTTCCTTTTCTTTCCATACATTACATTTGTTGTCCTCATCTTTGCTGCTTCCTTTTTTCTTTTTTGTTTCCCTATCTTTGCTGCTTGCTGTCCTCATCTTTGCTGTCCTTCTTTTTCTTTCCATACATTACATTTGCTGTCCTCATCTTTGCTGCTTTCCTTTTCTTTCCATACATTACATTTGCTGTCCTCTTTGCTGCTTTCCTTTTCTTTCCATACATTACATTTGCTGTCCTTTTTGCTCTTTTTTCTTTCCATACATTACCTCATTTTGCTGTCCTCATCTTTTTGCTGCCTTCCTTTTTTTTCCATCACATTGTCATTTTCCATGTCCTCCATATCTTTGCTTTTCCTTTTCTTTCCATACATTACATTTTTGCTTTTCCTTTTCTTTCCATACATTACATTTGTTGTCCTCATCTTTGCTGCTTTCCTTTTCTTTCCATACATTACATTTGTTGTCCTTTTTCATCTTTACATTTGTTGTCCTCATCTTTCCTTTTTTTCATTTCCATTTGTTGTCCATTTGCTTCTCCTTTTACATCTTTGTTGTCCTCATCTTTGCTTTCCTTTTCTTTCCTTTACATTACATTTGTTGCCCTCATTTTGCTGTTTTCCTTTTTTTTCCATACATTACATTTGTTGACCTTATCTTTGCTGCTTTCCTTTTTTTCTACATTACATTTGTTGTCCTTTTTGCTGCTTTCCTTTTCTTTCCATACATTACATTTGTTGTCCTCATCTTTGCTGCTTTACTTTTCTTTCCATTCCTTTATTGTGTTTCCTTTTTTTTCACCTTTGTTGTCCCTATCTTTGCTGCTTTCCTTTTCCCATACATTACATTTGTTGTCCCTCATCTTTGCTGCTTTCCTTTTTTCCATTCCTTTGCGTTTCCTTTTCTTTCCATACATTACATTTGTTGTCCTCATCTTTGCTGCTTTCCTTTTCTTTCCATACATTACATTTGTTGTCCTCATCTTTGCTGCTTTCCTTTTCTTTCCATACATTACATTTGCTGTCCTCATCTTTGCTGCTTTCCTTTTCTTTCCATACATTACATTTGTTGTCCACATCTTTGCTGCTTTCCTTTACTTTCCTTTGTGTACATTTGTTGTCCTCATCTTTACTGTTTTCCTTTTCCTTCCTTTGCTTATATTACATTGCTGTCCTCATCCTAATGCTTTGGCCATTGAAAATTTATAAATATATATATATATATATATATATATAATAAAAAGGAAGAAAATTATTTTTTTAATCATTTCATCCCAAGAAAGGCAATAATGCCACTAAGATGACAGGGATTACTCAGAGTGAAAGGCAATGAAAAGACTTTAGTGAGGAGAAGTGGGGAAAAGGAAAATAAAAGGACATGTTTCAGGAAGACAGAAAATGGTGACTAACATTACATTTGAATTTTTGAAAATTGTAGATGGCAGGGAAGCAAGTAATTGAAAAAGGATTTCCACCGGCAAGTTAAGAAACTATTAGAATACAGTTGAATCTAAATAGTTCAAAAGTAAAATAGTGAAACCCAATTACCAATCTAGCAGCACACTTAAATTCATCCTGTCAAGGCACCAAGGATAAAAACTTGTCAGAATAATTGTCATGAAAATATTTGTAGAAAGAATAGAGAGAAGCCACATTACATCAGTGAGAAAGTGACAGAAATTGAGGTGTCAGGTCTGGATCAATTAAATTACAGAACCTTCTTTAAATTTTATCAAGAATAATAGGAGCACCAAACCAGATATGGGCAAGATTGTGTGTGTGTGTGTGTGTGTGTGTGTGTGTGTGTGTGTGTGTGTGTGAAAGGAGTATTGTAAAGTTTAGGTCACTCTTTTAAGTTTAAAATATATATATATATAATATATATATATATATATATATATATATATATATAGATAGATAGATAATATTAGTGGTAAATATACACATACATATGCAATCATATAGCTAAAATATATAAATATACATACATACATACATACATACATATATACATATCTATATATTTGTATAAAAAATAATTCCAAGAGGATAGAATCCAGGTAGAACTCAATGTCCAGGACACAGTAAGAAAATAATAAAAGGCTTAAACACTAATATTCCATGGAATATTAGTGTTTAAACCTTTTTATTATATATATATATATATATATATATATATATATATGTGTGTGTGTGTGTGTGTGCGTGCGTATCTGTTTCATTGTAGTTTTTTCTCCAACATTCCCATACATCTCACACTCACATGACCTTTTATTTATTATTTATCTTTGCCCACATATGCAACTGCCCTCTAGAGAGCCACTAGGTAAATACAAGTTATGTACTAGAAAATTTGGCCTTATAAAAAAATTCTGTTTTCCTCCCACCTTGCCACCAATGACACGCCCAACTTCACTAAAAATTCAAGATCAAAAAATCAGACCTGAGCACTCGGCATTTTGTTTAGGATGCTAATGCCTGTCATCTTTTATCTTTTGGCAATTATGTTAGAGTGGTTCTCATCGTAATCCATGAATCACTCGCCAAGGGCTTTGTTGGAGAAGCTAAATGCTTTTGGAAGTTTGCCAGACTTATTCAAATAATAATAATAACAATAAATAATAATACTTTCACTTTTCTACTTTCACTTTCAAGTTTATTCATGAGAAATAGTATGCTAACGTTCTAGTTGAAACATTTGAAGTGCCCAAATGAAAATTAAAAGTGAACATTATCAGATTTGCACATTATTGCAGAACAAACAAAACAAAGCCTATTTTAAAATCAAATATGATTATGAATTTTTCATCAAATGATATTGTAATCCTATAAATTGGCACTGCTTATACTTTCTCAACTCTCCTGGTATCTGTTCAAATTACAATTTCATTGAAATAACTTCTAAACAAATGATTATTTGCATCATTGAAACAATATCACTCTGGAGCAGCTTCGATCGGGTGAATGTCATACATTTGCAATTGTATTGAATAAACAATGATTCAAAATTAGAGGAAAGCTTATTTTTTATCAATGTTTAAATAATCTCAAATACATACATTGTATAAATTGCTGTGTTGTTGCAAACAATGTAGCCGTGTCTTTAAACTTCCTGTAATGAGTTCTCTCCTCCTGAGAGTTTGCTTACCCAATAGTATGTTATAGAAATATCTGCAAAAATTTTTCTATTTCATTTTTGTATTAAACTATCCATTTTAATTTTTCTTTTTACCATATAAAGTGAGTTTAAAATATTAAACATAGTTAAAATATAGTTTCCAGGATTGAGACTTTCATATGGATGTTATGCATAGTGCCCAACTTGTTCAGATATATCTAAAACACTAGCTGTATATAACTGCTTTCTAAGATTTGTTTGATTTTGTTCAGCAGCATATTAACTTCTATGTGTTATTTATTGCAGAAATCTAAATATTTAGAACACAATTCTATGTCTTCAACTACAGTATTGTTGGTCATTTTGCTATAAAATATATTGTTGGTAATTTTTTTTATTTAAAAATGTATTGGTATTTTTACTATTGTTATACCATACCTATGGACTATAATGGGTATGACCCAATCCCCATAAATACAATAAAATATAGTGTCTGGGGGATTCACACACGCCGCTGGCAAATCTTCTATGTTGTTAATCTTTTAAAGATTACTGCACCATTTCCAACCTTCGCTTTGGTCATTCTTATTCAGTAACCTTTTCTAAGTAACAACTATAAAAATGTATTTTTATACTGCCATACTGTTTTATTTTTTGGTTCACTATTTGCCCATAGCTAGGACCCTAACAAGTGCTACCACCCCAGGTCAGGGTGGACCTGGAAACAAGAACAATTAAAAGGTGGATCCACACTCCTGAAAACCTCCAATCTTGCTGCCACATGTAGTTTATTATCATATGAAAGACTGGCTTTCTAAGATTAATGATTAAAAATGGCTTAAATTGATTGAAGTCTGTAGGTCTTAGCAAGGACAGTACTTCTTTGAAACTCATGCACTGACACAACAGAATAACAAAGAAAGAACTGTACCAAATAACAGAAACCACATCACTTGAGGACTTTCAACAGCAGCAGCAAACAACTAAAATGGATGTAACATGTAACTCAAAGAGAAAATAATGACAATCAAATGTTGATGTTCCACATTATCGAAAAACTTGATTAGGAAGGAATGTCCTAATCTGATAATGTTTACTTGTAATTTTCATCTGGGCACTTCAAATGTTTCAACCATAACATTAGAATAGTTTCTCATCAATACTGGAAAGAGTGATAACAGTTATTGGTCTTAAGCATCTTCCTAAAAAATTGTTTTAAGAGAAATATTTGAATAAATTTCAACTGAAAGAAGTACTGGCTGCTCCGTCAATGAGTTCCAGATGTTTATTCATAAGGAAACTATTATCATTAGCATTCGTATGTAATCAAACAGAAAAATAAAGCAATTATATATTCCCATATATTCTTTTTAATTTGATGATTATTTTAATAACATGAAATCAGGTTGTATCTGATATTATTACTGTTATGGTAGCCTACCCACACATGCATGAACTCTCCCAGCTATAAATAGGAGCAGGTACTGCCTTTTGGTGAGAAAAGTTTCCAGCAGTCAGCTCTGACAGTTGGACCAAACTTTCTTTCTGTAACACTCTTGTTTGTATGTTTGTATTACTATTCTATTAATATATTTGTTTAACTCAATTCCTCTTTTTGTGTCTTTATTTCTGGGCCCTAACAAGGCCACAGTAATTAACATGATGAATTTTTGAAACACCAAACAGATTTATATTATTATCCAATGATTTCAGTTATACCTCTTAAAATCCATACTGATAAAATACTACCTACAACAGTGACATTCGCATCAAAAACTAGACAAATCAGTGAAACTAAGACCATATTTTAAATACCAGATGCTGTTTTGGTGTGATTTAAATGGCAAAACAATTTTATCAGACTCTAAATTTTTTTACCTATTTATCTTCTACTGAAAGAATTCATATGAAACTTTTTTTTTTAATTATTTCACCCTAAGTGGGGAAATAAAGCCACTAAGATGCAAAAGATTCCTGAATGTTAGAGGATATAAGAAAAAAGACACTATTAAGGAGAGAAAACAATGAGAAAACAATAAAAGAACAAGAATTAAGAAGACAGAAGATGACAAACTTGATAAATTTGCATGAATATTGGTACAGTGTGATAAAACTGCTATTTCTCAATCAGTTACTTATGTACATACAAATGAGACCTCTCATACATTATAAACATTTATGTGAATGTGTCAACTTCTTCATGCATTTCAATATTTGTTTTGTTTTTAAATCAAACAGAAACACTAAAAATATAAGCGTGCAATTGAATGTCTCATATATTTCTTAGGTACACGAGGAAATGATTGAAAATTTGTGTTACTGATTTAACCAATCTATCCTTGGTATTAAGTTTAAATCATTTTAAAATTAGAAAAAAAATGTTTTAATGTGTGTTATCTTTCAATCATGACCAAAAAATAAGTGTATTTTTTTACTAAATTAATTTATTGATTATCAATTTTAAAATAACATGAGAGAATTATGAAGTTTCCTTGAAAAAGTGACTGGTTTAGCTTATCAATGTCTTTATGTAGATTTTTGACAGCATAATAGTTCTGTGTCTATCCAATTAAAGACCGACTTTACCCTTTCTTTGGAACATGAAAATATAATTATATAAACTGGTCCTGACTTGAAAATGAAACTTATCAATATGAAATAAATAAAGCTGAACTCTAAATGTACACCTACCCTGTCACACATCCATTAATGTTATAGTTAAGTATACATGCATATGTGCATGTTTGTGTGGGTAAATGAGAAGCATTATCCAGCATTGTTCTGGTAAAATGTTATTAGGCTTCAACTCTTTTGTCAAGTAATTTTATTTCACTTAATTTAAATATAACAGATGGAGAAACTTCATCCCATAAAACTTTCATTGCTATGGAAACCACAGCAAAAATGTCTAGTGTTGATTGGATCTGTGTCCTCATACTCAGCTCTAAACAGTGAGTCTACAAGACTAAGGGGAGGGAAAAGTAGAAAGCAGCATCTACATTACTGACTTCACGTTTTAAAACAGAATCTTACATACATATGAAGTTGACAAATAGTTTTGTGGGTTCTAAGTTTTCTGTTGGATTTTCCT